TGGCTCATTACTGTTTGAGTAATGTCTGCTTGTTCACCCAACTGGCTCCAGCTTTCTGGAGTCAGGGCCAAAGGCTTTCAGTACTGAACAATATCTAGGGTGGTCAGAGATGGCTTGTGTAGAGGATGGCTCTGTGTAGAAATCACGCACTGTTTTTATGAATCCCATGCACGTTCAAACTATTTTGCAGGGCAGAGTGACAGAAGTGACTGGCACAGGCTGGGATGTGTAGGATTGTCTTGTGTCACATCGACTCTGTAGTTTGCGAAGCTAAGTTTCAGTGTCAGCCCTTGGCCGTGGACTCTCTTGGAGGAGGAAAGACCAAAGAGAAGCCAAAGAACAGACTGGGACAGGCTGGGCTCTCCTCTTTTCCAGTCCCAGCTCAGCCCCCTCTTCCGGCACATCTTGATCCACTGAGCTTAAAATCAGGAATGAAGGTGGGGAGGGAAGAAGGGCTGTGTACATACATGGAGAACAGGTCAAGGGGAAGAGACAAAAACATTCAGCATCACTTTACTGCTTGCAAACTGACCTCACTTGCATTATCTCATATGATCACCTGTGTTCTATCTGTAAAGAAAGTGAGCCCCAGAGCTATGAAATGATTTATTTGTCCAGAACCCCAGTTAATAAATATCAGATCTGGGGCTTGAATCTAGATCTTCTGGCTCTGAATCCATTGTTCTTCATACAAAAGACTAAGACATCAGCCAGTACCCATACTATTAATCTACTAGAAGTGTAATTTTTTTCTTTTAGATATACCATGATTGCATCACTAGACTTGTAATAATGGGCCTTTCTAGGAAGATGAGTGCCATATAAATATTAACTTCTACTATTATTATTTTTATTATTGCCACTAAAATCATGGTTACGTTGGGAAATTCATTTTATTCAGTTCAGTAAGTGCCCAGTATCTTTGACAAATATATTGCCCACACCCTCGGAAAGCAGAGAAAGCAGTGATGGGAACATATAGGCTAAATGTCATGTGATGGAATCTGTAATGGACATGTGCCTAAAATCTATATATAAAGCAGTTGTTCTTGAATGTTAGCATGCATCAGAATCATCTGGTTGGCTTGTAAAAATACTGATTGCTGGGCTCTGCCCTCAGAGTTTCAAGGATGGGGCCCAAGAATGTGAATTCCTAACAAGTTTCTAGATAGGGTTGATGCCACTGGTCCAGACACCACTTTGAAAGCTGGAATTACTTCCATCTGGGAGGATGGGGAAGATTTTGTAGAAGTGATTCCTAAACAAAGTTTGAAGAATTAAAAAGAGTTTGCCTAATGGAATGGGTGGAATGGCGTTTCAGGTGGACAGAATAGCATGCATAAAGGTATAAACAGGTAGAACAGTAGACAGGGGATCAATAAGAAATTTCACTTGGCTGTAGTCAAAAGAGAAGTGGACAATGATAAGAGATAAGCCTGACCTCGTGGAGGCTTTCACGTGCCATGCTAAGGCTTTACCCTGTAGCCCGTTTGAAACAGAGAAGCACCTTAGTCAAATTTGCATTTTAGAAAGCTAATTGATTCTAGTCCAAGTATGGAAGCATGGAGGAAATTCCCACTTAGTACCTAAATATGAAAGAGCTCTTTTGAACATCTATAATATTATGCCCAGGGATTAATCAGACATGTGCTAGCCTTGATATTTCAGTCAAATAGTTAATAAGACGCTCTGTGCCATGCATTCATGCAAGTCAAAGACACCATCCTTTCCCTGGGGCACTTGGGGGAGCCAACACTAACACCTAGGAAGCAACAGAGCACAAGGCAAGGCAGTATTTTACCAAAGGCAGAGAAGAGTGGAATCTTTTAGGGCTGAAGCAGTTAGCCAGGTTTCATGCAGAAAGCAGAGCACCATCTGGCCTTGCAGAACAGTAGCTTTTGCCTGGCCAGAGGAAGGCTTTGCAGGCAAACAGGACCCTGGAGTAAAGGTACAGAAGGTGGAACTAAACATTGAACACACAGGGTCATTGAAGAAGCAGAGGCAGCTGGTCAACCCATAGAGGGGGCTTTTCTTGAGACATGATAGAGGAGTGGAAATGAAGTTTGGTTCACAAAGGCTATTTCTGTGGGATTAACCTCTGGAAGACTTTTTTTTTTAAAGAATAAATTAGAGCAACACAGAGCCAGGAAATATGGTGCTTCTGAATCATCTGCAAGCCCCCTCTCTCTTATCACCCAAGAATAATAGCTATCAAGGTAACAGAATACAAAGGCATGGGTTGGGGGCAAGAGACAGGGAAGACACATTGGCTTTGGTTCTGGTAGGGCCAAAATGACAGTAGTTGTTGCCCAGGGAGCTGGCCATTGTCCGAGGAGTGAGGTGGGTTGGCGATCAGACAGCTCCTTATGAAAGGCCATCTGTCCTTTGCACTGGGATGAGGGCCTGGGAAGCCCTCCCTTTCAGCTCCCAGATGGTAATACAATGCACTTATGTAAGGGAGACTTCCTGGGTCATTTGCTTATTCCTGAATGTGCACATATGAAAATGTTTTTGCATGTTGGTTTTGTGAATTGGGTGTTTCCACGGCTACACTTCCCATCATGACCTAACCATACAGCATTCTCTTTAAGCTTTATGTTCTATCCAAAGAGCAGTGTGTGTGCTTACTGAAGCAAATACACAAACGGATGTTTCCTTGTGTCTTTATAAAGGATGGTGGATTTGTTCACAGTGTAGGTTGGAGTCTTTGCTGAATTCGACATTCCCTATACCCTTACAGTTATCCAGAACTTTGATTTTCTGGCCAATGCGTCATCTTTTTCTCAGATTGCTGTACCACCCTTGTAATTTTCATGACCAGGAGCGGCGTATGACTTTTTCTTCAAGGTCATTATTCCCAGTGAATTAAGATGTCTGACTTCACAAACGTGACTTTCTGTATGCCGGGGGTGGAGAGGCAAAGCTGCCACGTGGGATGGAGGTTGAGGCAGTGGGTGGGGCTCAGCGAGGCTAGTCTTCTGCCTGTAACTCAGTCCCCACACCAACCAGGCCACCTGCGCTGCTCCAATTTAAACCTTATTACATGACCAGTTACTGCATGCTACGGACCTTTGAGGTCACAGAGGAAGAGCTGAATGTACAGCTAATAATTCAGAGATTCTGACATGCCTCACTTTGGGGCGAGAGGTAGCAGTTAGGATGCACATGGCTGAAAATGCAGACAGCAATACACCCAGGTTAATCAAATATATATCATTAAGCCCAGTGAGCGACCTTACTGAATTTATCACTAACTATATTTCAACACAATCCATCTTAAATTCCCTCTTTCTAACATTTTGCCTTGGAAGAAAAACAGAACAAAACAGAAGGAGAGGGGGTGAGACTTTGCCAAGGGGTGTTTTCCTGGGGCACATAGCAGCTGAAACACAAGGCCTCATTTTAATTGAATTATAAACTGTGTAATTATTTAACCCATACCAGCTGGTCTCAAGAAGCTACCAGATTCCTTGGAGAGCTTGTACTTGGCCAGGAACATAAGGTACCTTATTAGTAACAAGAAAAACACCTTCTGTACCTATGTTAACCCCAGCCCCCAAAGAGCATACAGCAAAAGGGGAAAAATGCCTTAAGTTCATTTTTGGTTTAAGAGAGAGCCCTCCTTCCTTCTGAGTATGTGAGTAGATTGACTAAAGGCACTGTAGTCTTTAAGGAATGGGCACCATAAACAGGATATTATTGCATCAGACAGGTAAGAGTAATTTCTCTAATTAGTCATTTGAGATTTCATTTTTCACTTGGAAGAACTGGAAATTTAATTTGTTTGTGACAGGCAATTGGCAAGCTACCACTGCCCCTCCCTCAGTTTTGCTGTCCTGACATCATGGAGGAAGCACTGGGGGGTCTCGATGTAGACACTTGGCTTCATTTATCAACATCAAGCTAACTAAAGTACCTTCTTATTGACAAATGTGTCCTTATTACACATTCCTCACTTGTAATGCTAGAATAATCCTAATGAGCTTCCCATGATCATTTTTCTTTCAGATTAAAGATTTGTTCTCAATCCCCCCCAAATTTTGCAGCAGTCTAAGTAATTTATAATACATTCTCATTGCCATAAGAACATCGTTCTCAAAGGTACAGAGCAAGATATTTTTAGGGAGCCGTCTTTTAGGGATTAATGTGTGATTCAAGACAGTTGTTTGATTAAAGAAATAGTTCATCCTATCTATTTTGTTTTAAAACATACTTCTCTAAAGATGGAATGGCATCAGGCATAGTCCCCATAAATCATAGCTATTGATTTTACATTTGTTTTAGCTCATCTGATTTTATGACCCCTCGTGTTGTAATTTGTTATCCTGAGAGCTGGTCCCTGAGTTGGTACTGGGTTGATGCTGGGAGGTGGTTTCTTTCAGTTCGGACTAATCTATACATGAAACAGATTAGTTTGCAGACACAGAACCATGCTCCTCTTGCTTCTCATAACATTTCCCCCGGTATTTCCCATGGAGCTCACAGATGCCACCCAGTGACATCTCTGGCAGGTGGTAACATGAGGGACCTTTACGTAGTCCAGCCAGTGTGGGCACAGGTAAGGCTCCTGGCAGCCCTGGGTGCTGCCAGAAGCCGGGGCCTTCTCTCTTCGGCTCTTCACACCCGGATTCCAAATGCAAATATTCTGGACACCTTCTGGAAACTCTTGAGCCAGAAAGTTCTTCCATCCTCCATCAGTAGTAGAAGTAATGGGAGAGAGAATGTCTGCTTGGCCACACCTTGCATGTGAAAGCGGGGAGGGGGGCATGTAGCCCCTTTTAATGTGCATCTACTTCGATGCTTCTAGGTGGAGCTTGGGATGCAGCCAGATCCCTAAAGCAGCCCATTTCAGATAAAATTAGACAGACTTTCTGGATATATCCGTGGTGTACTCAAGGATCGCTTCTTGTGTTTTGCTTTTTCTGGCCAATTTGAGTGAATGTGACGCTCTCGTTTTAAAGTGTCGTTTTCTTCCCTTTGTCCTCTGGCTTGCCATTCAGTACTCAGTCACGTCGCTGAAGACCATCCCAGAACTGTGCCGAAGATGTGATTCGCAGAGCGAAGACAGATCAGGTACGTCTCTCTCCTCATCCCCCCTCCTGCCCCGGACTCTTAGAGAGTGGAGGACTCCAGGGAGCTGTTTCCCCCCTCACACTCCTTGCTCCTGCCTTCTGTCTTTCTCTTATGGCCTCTCCCTTCCTCCCCCCTACACACACGCCCTCTGCAAACAGATGTCAGGTCACCCCCCAAAGGCTAACAGGACGGGGAGGCCCTAATGAGGACGCGGTTGTATACAGCTAGATGGAGGCCATCATTTCGACAGCTCCAAACCACAGTATACGCAGCAATTTACTGAAAACCCGAGAAACCATTGGTGACAAAACATAATGATGCAGGCGCCAATGAAAAAATGTTGGATGCATTCACTACCCATATGGCCAGGACCAGCTTGGGGAATGGTGCTTCGCCAGAGTCTGAAACCCTATCAGGGATGCGACATGATAGGATCTGCAAGAAGGCATACTGTAACAGTTAAGATTAAAGCAAAGCTTTGGAGTTTAATAGTGTAAACTAAACAGAGAATTATGGCATATAGATGAAAACCAGCTGGTTGACCTTTTCTCCTTACACAAACCCCCACCCCCTGGCAAAAAAAAAAAAAAAGGACATTCAGCATTGTTTTTCCCTCTGTGAATCAAATTAAGCCTCTCTCCTTTTCTCTCCGTGATGGGCAAAAATGAAAATGAAAAAGGATGTCGATGGGGGCGATACCATGGCGTTAAACTATGGAAGGATGTTTATCATTTCTCGAAGTAATTACTGTAAGGCATCGCCATTAATCGTGCCAAAGCTGGGCCTCTTCTGATAGTAGCTTGAATCCTGAGAACCGTGGGCTATGGAAGGCTCAAGATAATCCTCCGATTATGTGTATCGTGTTTCAAAATAAATAGATGGCCCTTACCTGGACAGCTACTAGAATTCTAGGCTGTTCTCACTGAAAGGACTTGCACAAAGCTAATTTATTTGTCTCCTGGACGGCTCGCTTTCTTTTGACATTTTGCTTAGATGAGATGGGGCAAATAATCAGTCTTTCTAGGTTTGTTTATCTCTGTGTTTTTGCGAGTGAAAGTAATGCTTCAGTGTTTGGGGGTTGTTTCTGTTTTTTAAATTTCAAACACACTCAAGTTTCTGTCGTGTTTAACGGAGGCTTTGGCCACGAGGCTCTAGGGATGTGCCTCCTAACAAGGCATTGCCAGGTTCCAAGTTGAATTGTTGACTGGGGGCAGTGACTTGAGTTCAGGTTAGGATTCAGTCAATTATCAGCTATACAGCCTAGAGCCTGAGACTGATTGTCTACAAAATAAAGAAGAAGCTTGTTCCGCCAATGTTACCAGGCACTGTTAGGGTGAAAATTAGGTGATGTATCTGAAGTTATTTTGTAGATACAGGATTTTCTTCTTTAACTAGAGGTGGGGAGTAAGAGAGAAGAAATAATAGCAACCATTTGCATCGTGCTCAGTGTGGGAGGTCCTATGGTAAACCCTTCACTCACGTTAACTCAGTTAATCCCAAAATCCCCATGAGCTGAGTACTTATGATGTTTATGTTAGAGGTGGGCAAACTGAGGCACAGAGCAGAGAAGTTAAATATCTTGCCTAGAGTCACAAGCAGTTAAGTTGCAGAGCTGGGATTCACACTGCAGCAAGTCTGTCTCTGGAGTGGGTTCTCTTATCCATTGCATACACTTCCCCTCAGATAGCTTGATTTCGAGGCATTCATTTAGTTTTATGGTATTAGCCTTTTAAAAATTTAAAAATCAGCATTCTCCCTCATTGATTAAGTGGTGAATTTCTCTTCTCTGTTCAGTAGCTATTCTTGCTTACCAAGGTAAGTAAATTAAGCAAAGCTTTTTAAAAATAATTTTTCCTGGGGCTGGTTCATCCCATTTTCTCCAGGTCATGTGACTTCTCGCCACTTCCACAATAGGTGATATTGGACATTTCTTCTCTGGTTGAGAAGGAGGCAGAAGCCTTTAAACTTCACTCAGAGCAAAGACCCAGTGCTCAAGGTCATTGGCAATAATTAGACCTGACAAGAAATGGATGCCTGTGGCCTGTGGGCAAGACTCAGGCCTCTTAATGGAATCATATGTACACCTCCAATGGAATCACATGGACACTTCATTTGGAGGCTGTCAAACCACTTTCTAATAGAGCCAGAGTGATTCTAGAAAAAGAACACATAGAAAAATCCATCTCTGTAGCATCACTGTAGATTATCTGTGAGCTCCTTTAAAAGAAATTTCAACATGGTAAAGATTTTTCATAGCTAGTTTCTGAAAGAACTGAGCCATTCTTGATTCACTCCTAGGACATGCAGCTGTAGAAATACCCTTGGCACCCCTCCGGTCTTCCCATGTCAACCACCCAGGAGGGCTTGCAAATTTCCATCTTTACGGTAATCTTTTCAAACAGATGGAAACAGAAGGCACACTGGCCTCTGAGAAGAGTCCACACCTTCTTTTGGATGGGGCACCCACTGGAAAAACTTTTCCCCAAACCTCCTGTCACTTAGAATATACTCTGCCTCTTTATCTTTCTCAAGTTTGTTAAGCAATTTCTATTTTGTGTAGGTTGTCAAATGCTACCATTCATCCTTGCATTAACAAGCCCTTGATCAGATGTTCTTGGGCCCATTTGTTCTTTTATTTATTCGTTCAGCAGATAACAATATTTCTCTGTCATAGGCACTCAGGACGTGGTAACAAATAAGACATAGACGAGGCCCCCGTTCTCGTGATGTTTATGTTCTAGGGAGTGACAAAAAAATAAACCAGATCATTTCACCCAGTGATAAGAGGTAACTCAAAGCAATGTGATAGAGTAACTTGTAGGAGTTGGAGGAGGGCACTTGCGGGGGTCTGAGAGTGTTAGAAGGACCCAGCCAGTCGATAACCAGGGAAGATCACTGAAGGCAGAGGAACTAGCAAGTGCAAAGGCCCTGAGCCAGGAATGAGCTTAGCATGTATGAGGAAGAAGAAAAAGAAAACCAATCTCAGCAGGGTGATTAAAATGAAGATATGAGGTCTGGGAGATGGTCAGGGTCAGACTCTGTAGGGCCCTATCGATCATGTATGCGGATTTGGGTTTTATGCTAAGTGCCATAAAAAGCACCGCCAGCAGGATTTCAATTTTTCTAAAATCTCATTACTTGGAAAGAAGCCTTGGTGTGTAGAATCATTACTCTCAACAGAAGAAGTGACCCAAAAATCATCCAGTTGGAGAGAGAGAGGGCAAATAATAAAGTAAATGGGTGAAGTGCTAGAAATTTTTGAATAAGGATAAAATTTATACAGGTGTTCTTTGTGCTGATTATATATTTTAACACTTTTATAAATTTACATATGAAAAAATTATTTACAAATAAAAAGTTTTTTAAAAGACAAAAAAAAAAAAACTAATAATAATCACTTAGTCCAAAATCCATAGTCCAAAATCCATCAGATCTTCAAAGAGGATCCTAATTATCCTGCTTATACTTCATGGCTCCAGTGACAGAGAGTTCACAGTCTCATGAGGCGCGGCCTATCCATAAAAGCTCATTTTTTCATTCAGTCAAAATCAGTGTCCCTCAAATTACCATCCCTCATCCCTGGTTCTTCCTTTGGATCCATGGAGAAGGGCAACCCCTCCTGGACAAGGTGCCCCTACGTGTTTAAAGATGGCAGCCACTCTTGGTCTTGTCTTCTCCGGGTTGAAATTTCCCTCCATGGTTTTAAGTCTATCCTGCTCATCCTTCTTGCTCTCTCATGGATGACTGCAAATGACCAGCGTCCTCCTTAAAGTGGAACCCTCAGAACTGAACCCGAGGTTGCTCCCTGCATGGTCTGAGGAGAGCCTGCCAGCCCCACAGGTCACCCTCCAGGACTCCCCACCTAGCTGTCCTGCCTTCCCAAGTGAGCTCCAGAGACAACGCTCGTGCCTGTCCTTTCTGCCTGTTTCTCAAGTGTCCTGAGAGGAGCAGGAACGTCAGAGGAGCCTGTTGGTGGCCTTAGAAGCCTCTCTGTGAGACATCCAGCCCAGAGCTCACCCCCCTTCATCCCTAGACCCTGGGCCACGCTATGGTGGGGTCCGAGAAAGCAAAATGGCAGTGTGGTCAGAAGCCTGGGGCAGCATCCCACTACCTTCCACCGGCTGTCCCACGCACACGAGTGTGCCCTAGAGGTGCGCTTCCTTTAGCTGAAGGCTTTGACTCCTATTGAAATCTGCACTTCCCTCTGACAGGAGTGATATTTTAAACTGTCCTCTACCCATTACACTGCACTATGACCGAGCTTCACATTTCTGTGAGAGAAGTTTTGAAAAGACCTGCGAAGGTATTGCAGAGACCACAAGAAGGTAGGAGAGGGAAGTGAAGAGCTAGAAATTGGACACTTGAGAACAGACTTGGCCTCTCTTGAGATTTCCTCGTTATTTCTTAGGTGTTCTTCCAGTCCTCCGTAAACAGCTTCTTTGTCCTCAGGATGATTCTCTGAGGGAAGACCATGACTATGCCCAATTCATTGATGAGGAAACCAAGATGCCTAGAGGATAAATAACTTGCCCAGAGTCCTGGAGCTGGCACATCTTTAAAACCAGCCGTGCTGGGCGCCTGGGTGGCTCAGTTGGTTAAGCGACTGCCTTCGGCTCAGGTCATGATCCTGGAGTCCCGGGATCGAGTCCCGCATCGGGCTCCCTGCTCAGTGGAGAGCCTGCTTCTGCCTCTCTCTCTGCCTGCCTCTCTGCCCACTTGTGCTTTCTCTCTGTGTGTCAAATAAATAAATAAAATCTTTAAAAAAAAAAAAAAAAAAACCAGCCGTGCTGACTCCGGAGCCTTATGAAGTTGAGTCAACTGAGTAATTGTCGTCCAAGGAGCCACGTGTGGCTACTAGCGCGAAGCAGGGATTAGCAGCAAGGAAGTTATGTGTGAAAAACTTGCACATCTCCAAGGAAGTCATTTGTGAAACATTCGCAAGTATTCTCTGCTTAATCCCCGCTGCTCGTGCAGGAGAAGGGGCCAGCGCAAGGCAGAGA